TCAAGAAAAAAGACAGGCAATAGAAACCGTGGGAAGAAACAGATATCAGATTTAACAAAAAGAGATTTAAAAGAAATCATTATAAATATCTTTGTAGAACTAAAGAGACCATGATTAAAGAAGTAAAAAGAGGTATGATGACTGTCACATCCAATTCAGAAAATATCGATAAAGAGGCTCAACATCACTGATCATCAGGGAAATACAAATCAAAGCTACAATATCACCTCACACCTGTCAGAATAGCTAAAATTAACAACATAAGGAACAACTATTGTTGGCAAGGATGTGGAGAAAGGGGAATTCTCTTGTCCTGTTGGAAATGCAAACTGGAGCAGCAACTCCGGAAAACAGTATAGAGCTTCCTCAAAAAGTTAAAAATAGAGCTACCCTACAATCCAGCAATTGCACTATTAGGTATTTACCCAAAGAATACAAGAATACTAATTTGAAGGAATACATGAACCCCGATGTTTATAGCAGCATTATCTATAATAGCTAAATTATGGAGACAGCCCAAGTATCCATCGACAGATGAATGGATAAAGAAGATGTGGTATATATATACAGTGGAATATTACTCAGCCATAAGGAGAGTGAAATCTAGCCATTTGCAACAACATGTATAGAGCTACAGAGTATTATGCTAAGTGAAATAAGTCAGTCAGTGAAAGACAAATACCATATGATTTCACTCATATGTGGAATTTAAGAAACAAAACAAATGAATAAAGGGGGAAAGAAGAGAGCGGCAACCCAAGAAACAGACTCTGAACTATAGAGAACAAACTGATGATTACCAGAGGGGAGGTAGGTGGAGGGATGGATTAAATAGGTGATGGGGATTAAGTAGTGTACTTGTAATGAGCACCAGGTGTTGCCTTGAAGTGTTGAATCACTATATTGTTCACGTGAAGCTAATATTACAATGTATGTTAACTAACTGGAATTTAAATAAAAACTTGAAAAAATACTGTATTGTATATTTGAAAGTTCCTAAGAAAATTGATTTTAAAAGTTCTATCATGGGGCGTCTGGGTGGCACAGTTGCTTGGGCGTCCGACTCTTGGTTTTGGCTCGGGTCATGGTCAGGGACCCACATCAGACTCCCCACTCAGCATGGAGTCTGCTTAGGATTCTCTTCTCCCTCTGCCTCTCCCCTCATGCTCTCTCTCTCTAAAATAAACAAATAAAATCTTAAAAAAAAAAGTTCTCATCATAACAAAAAATAATTTTGTAACTATGTGAGGTGATGGATTTTAATTAATTTATTTTTTTAAGGGGCGCCTGGGTGGATCAGTCATTTGGTGTCTGCCTTTGGCTTGGGTCATAATCCCGGGGTCCTGGGATCAAGCCCCGCATCAGGCTCCCTGATCCACGGGAAGCCTGCTTCTCCCTCTCCTACTCCCCCTGCTTGTGTTCCCTCTCTTGCTGTCTCTCTCTCTGTCAAATAAATAAATAAAATAAAAAAATAATTTATTTTTTTAAAGATCTATTATTTATTTTAGAGAAAGAGCAAGTGAGTGGAAGAGGGGCAAAGGGAGAAAATCCCCAAGCAGACTTCCTGCTGGGCACAGAGCCCCATATGGGGCTTGATCTCATAACCCATGAGATCATGACATGAGCCAAAACCAAGAGTCGGATGCTTAACTGACTGAGCCACCCAGGCGCCCCTGAGGTGATGGATTTTAAATAAACTTATTATTGTAATCAGTCTGTAATATATACATATATCAAATCATTATGTAGTACACCTAAAGTGGATACAATCTTATGTGTCAGTTATAGCTCAATTAAAATTAATTAAATAAAATGCAGTTTCTGGGTTGTACCAAAAAAATTATAAAGAAGAACCAAATGGAAATTCTGGAGTTGAAAAGCACAGTAATCAAAACTTTAAACATTCACTAGAGGAACTAAATAATAGATTTTAACTGACAGAAGGAAGAATTAGCCAACTTGAGGACAGATCTATAGAGATTATAAAAGCCAAAAACAGAGTGGAAAAAAAGAATGAGGAAAAATGAATGGAGCCTCAGAAAGGGTGATACTAACCCAAAGCAACAGAATACAGATTCTTCTCGAGTACACATGGAACATTTTCCAGGATAGCTCATATGTTAGGCCACAAAATGAGTTTTAATTAATTGAAGAGAATTTAAATCATATCATGCATCTTTTCCAGCCACAATGTTAGGAACCTAGACATTAATTATACAAAGAAAACTGGAAATTCAAAAATATGTGGAAATTAAGCAATATGCTACTGAATAACTAATGTGTCAAGAAATCAAAAGAGAAATCAAAAAATACCTTGAGACAGATGAAAGTGGAAATATACCAAAATTTGTGGGATGCAGCAAAAGCAGTTCTAAAAGGGAAGGTCATAGAGATAAATACCTACCTCAGGAAACAAAAAGAGTCTCAAACAACTTAATTTTATGCTTCAAAGGACTAGAAAAAGAACAAATGAAGCCCAGAGTTAGTAGGAGGAAAGAAATAAACAGATTAGAGCAGAAACAAATGAAATAGGGACTGAAAAGATAATAAGGAAGATCAGTGAAACTAAAAGCTGGTTTTTTGAAAAGATAAACAAAATTGACAAATCTTTAACTATATTCACCAAGAAAAAAGGGGATTCAAATAAACAAAATTAGGTTCAAATAAAATCAGAAACAAAAGAGATGTTACAACTGATACTACAGAAATAACAAAGGATCATAAGAGAATATCATGAACAAATATATGCCAACAAATTGGACAACCTAGAAGAAATGTACAAATCATTAGAAATGAACAACATATCAAGACTGAATTTGATGAAACAGAAAATCTGAACAGTCTGATTACTATTAAGGAGAATGAGTCAGTAATCAAAAACCTCCCAACAAACAAAATTCTAGAACCAGTTTCAGTGGTGAATTATACCAAACATTCAAAGAAGAATTAATATCAATTCTTCTCAAACTTCTCCAATAAAGGAAGAGGGGGAAGCTCTTCCAAATTCATTTTATAAGGCCAGCATTACCCGATACCAAAACCATACAAGGACACCACAAGGAAAGAAAATTATACACCAATGTCTACGATGAACATAGATAGAAAACCCTAAACCAAATATTGGTAAACCAAATTCAACAATATATTAAAAGGATTATAGATCATGATCAAACAGGACGTATTCCAGGGATTGCAAGGGTGGTTTAGTACTCACAAATCAATCAATGTGATACACCACATTAACAAAATGAAGGATAAAAATCATATGATCATCTCAATAGATGCAGAAAAAGCATTTGACAAAATTCAACATCCATTTATGTTAAAAACTCTGCAAAGCAGGTATAGAGAGAATGTACCTCAACATAATTAGGCAATATATGTACTCAATGGTGAAAAGCTGAAAACTTTTCCTCTAAGATCAAGATAAAGACAAGGATGTCCACTCTTGCCACTTTTATTTCACATAGTATTGTAGGTCCTAGATAAAGTAATAAATCAAGAAAAAGAGATGAAAGGTATCCAAGTTGGAAAGGAAGAAGTAAAGCTGTCACTATTTGTAGATGACATGATATTATATATAGAAAGTCCTAAAGAGGCCACCAAACAACTATCAGAATAATAAATAAATTCAGTAAATTTGCTGGATACAAAATTAATATACAGAAATCTGTTGCATTTCTATACATTAATATCCAGTGCTCAGAAAGAGAAATTTAAAAAATGATCCCATTTACAATTGCATCTAAATAAATAAAATACCTAGAAAGAAATTTAACAAAGGAGGTAAAAGATCTGTATACTGAATATTACAAGATATTAATGAAAGAAATTGAAGATACAAATACATAAAAAGATATTCCATGCTTATTGATTGGAACAGTCAATATTGTTAAAATGTCCACACTAGCCAAAGCAATGTACAGAGTCAGTGCAAACCCTATCAAAACTTCAATGGCATTTTTTCACAGAATAGAATAATCTTAAAATTTGTATGGGCCAGCAAAAGACCCTGAGCTAATAGTTAAGTAATCTTAGAAAAGAATAAAGCTGGAGACATCACCCTCTCTGATTTCAAATTGTATTACAGAGCTGTAGTAATTAAAACAGTATGGTATTTGTACATAAACACATACATCAAAAATAGAAACAAAGATCAATGGAACTGAATAGAGAGCCCAGAAATAAACCTACACGGATATGGTCAGTTAATTTACATTTAAAGAGCAGCATACACACTGGGGAAAAACAGTATCTTCAATAAGTAGAGTTAGGAAAACTGGACAGCCACATACAAAAGAATGAAACTGAACCACTAACTTACACCATACACAAAAATTAACTCAAAATGGATTAAAAACTTGAATGTAAGAGCTGTATTTCTGTATGTTAAATTTCATAATTGAAAAGATTAAGAATTAGGCAAAAATAACAATATGTGAAAACTGGGAAATGTTTACTAATAAAATGTTGGATGAATAATAGTGGGTTTTTTAAAGCTTATACATAAAAAATTAAACATACAAAAATATTAACAATCTGGATGAATTATCTTTCTACCTTTCTGAATTTCCCTGAAATTAATATGTATTACTTGCATATAGGTAAAAACATGAATAAGACGTTTTTAAAAAGTGTGCCTAGTTAAGAAATTTTTAAGCAGGGGGCGCCTGGGTGGCTCAGATGGTTGGGCGTCTGCCTTCGGCTCAGGTCATGATCCCGGGGTCCTGGGATCGAGTCCCGCATTGGGCTCCCTGCTCCTTGGGAGCCTGCCTCTCCCTCTGCCTCTCTCTCTGTCTCTGATGAATAAATAAATAAAATCTTTAAAAAAAAAGAAATTTTTAAGCATAAAATCGTTCATTCAACTTTCTTGTTTATTCCATCCTAGAAACACTGTATTTCTTTTTTTCTACTGCTTTTATTTCTGTTTTCTAGGACCTATTATTCAGAAACCTCATTTTTTTTTTACTTATTTCATTTTAAATAACCATTTTCCACAGGTAATTAATACACTTGGAGTTGATGTTACTCCCCGACCTCTTTACCATCAAGACCCATATATGGGTGCAGCAAAGCCAAATAAATTATTGACATCACAAGAAGGATCATATGCATCAGAATATATATCTTCCTATAGCCTGTATCAGAATACAATAAATCCTAGTATGTTAGGGCAGTTTACAAGGTAAACTATACTATTCTATTGTTCTTTTTTATATCATATGTACTGTCTTTTCATTTAAGTTGCATATATATAACTTTGATGTCAGTTGTCTTCAGACTCCCAACTCCACTCTACATTAGTGTACTAGCCATCTCTATGTTCCCCTCATGTTTTAGTTAGATATAGAGCTTTACATGACTTAAGAGTTCCCTGACACACCAAAACATTTGTGAGAAAAATATGTAGATTTTCCTCAAGATTTCCTGAGGAACCAAAAGGTGAGGCTAGCATCACACACCCACAGACACATTTCTTCAGTTTCTTTTATGTTGCAGTTTATGGGAAGAAGTAGCTTTCCTTCTCTGTGACTGCCCCCCTCCAACTCCATTCTTCCATGCAAATCCCTGTTCTTCTACGGTTTGATTTCTCTTCTGTTTCATAATTTTTTTGTAAATGAAATGTTATGCATGTATTATGTAGACATATTACTGAAATTTTATTAATGCTTACAGTGGAGAAGTTCAGAGTCTTTGCAATAATAAAACAGGATGTCCTAAAATAATCTAAAGATATGGGGAAATATTTGAGTGTGTAATTTTCAATCTGACAAATTAAAATTTCCAGATGTTAACTAAGCACAAAATTTTAAGAAAAAATATGCTGTTCGAGAGTCTGCCTCCAAATTTGCATAAAGTAGTCATAGGAGTGCTCTATAAAACAAAGAATATTCCACTAAACCAAATCTATCCTTTTGGAGGACAGTTGGACTTATAAATAGAAAAGGCAAAAAGGTATATAATATCATGAAGTAATATTAAGTTCATATGTTTAAAGAAACTATTTTTGTATTCTTCAATTTATTGATTTCCCAACCAGTATATAGATTTTCTTTTAATTAAATCTTGAGAGGACCTTTATAAAATTGAATAAATCACATTTAAGATGGGATTTGAATGACGAGCAGAAAATGGGTGAAAAATGAAAGGAAGTTCCAGGCCAATCAAAACCTCTAATAAAGTCTCTAATAAAATAAGAGAGAACTGAAAGATTGAGGAAAAATGGGGAAGGGGAAGAGTGATAATGAAGAAGAAGAAATTGGATAGGTAGACTGTATTTTAGCTTTTTATTCTAAATATATTAGGAATCCACTGAAGGACTTTAGACATAGGTTTGACATGTTTTATCTCTAAAATATATTTATAATGACTTTTTATTTAAGGAACACTACAAAACAACTCTGTTTAAAGAAGTTTCTTTTTATCAGTTTTTTACATGATTATATTTGATTTCTCAATATGATAATGTTTTTATTTATATATTTAATTACCCATAAGAACATCTAAATAAAAGAATAATGTTGTTTTTCATTATTAAAGGTCGGTTTTAGGAAGCAGTACAGTTTCTAAATCAAGTGTATCTACTACTGAATCAATAGCAGAAGACCTAGAAGAACCATCCTATAAACGGGAAAAACTGACTAGTTTTACAGGTAATGAAAATAATATAATTTATTTCAGTAACAGCCCATTATTTCATAGCATTAGCAACTATGCTTATTATTTGTCAGGTACTTGAGGTAAAAGAACTATGGTAATGATTCTCAAATGCTGGCCTGAGGAGTAGCTACTGAGAACTACCAGGGTAGCATTAAATTTCTCAAGGTGACTCTCTTGCACCACCAGCCTCAGGAGAGACAGACCCTGTTTTAGAAGTGCTCTGCTTTTAACTCAGGAGGCAACTTCTTCTGATACGTTGTGATCAGTGCCCTAATAAGACATATGCAGAATGTTATGGGAGCACTTTGAAAGTGAAGATTAACATCTTTGAGGTGGAAAAAAAAAAGAATTCATAGAGAACATTATAGACTTTTGAACTGGGTTTTTAAAGATGATTAGTAATTTGTCAGGAGAAAAAAAATAAGAGTGGCTCCTTCCAGGCAGAGCATAAAACATGAAGTAAAGGATTATGAAAATGGGGGCGCCTGGGTGGCTCAGTCGTTAGGCATCTGCCTTCAGCTCGGGTCGTGATCCCAGGTTCCTGGAATCGAGCCCCACACCAGGCTCCTTGCTCGGCGGGAAGCCTGATTCTCCCTCTCCCACTCTCCCTGCTTGTGTTCCTTCTCTCACTGTGTCTCTCTCTGTCAAATAAATAAATAAAATCTTTTAATAAAAAAAGGATTATGAAAATGAAGATAAAAGAGTATAAAATAATGGATGATCAAAAGTGCTGGAAGAAATGGGTACTTACCGGAGGAACATTCACCTTGGAGTGCAGTAAGGGTGCCTCTTCCTCTGAGATGATAATGAAGGATTGATGAAAGTATTCATAAGGTTGGAAAAGTGCTTGATAGCATCTTTGGTGTTAAGATATGTAACAGGAATGCTCTGACAACAAGTAAGAGAATACCCAACTACCATTAGCTTAAACAATCAACTATTTTGGATTTGATTTTGTGGCTTGACTCTCAGACTCTGGATTGACAGCTGTGCTATTCTCTTTCCTTAAAACTTTTCTTCTTACTTCTTGCTTCTTGCGTTTTGCTCCATGGTCCAAATATCTGCCCCAGCTGTGGGTATTATATCCATGTTAAAGGCAGAAAGAGAGAGAAAGGCAGTAGCTTCAGTCCTATCACCCTTATTTATCAGGAAAGTAAAAGTTTCCCCAGGAGCCTTCTTCTTTCCTATGTATTTCTGCTGTTATCTTATTGGCCAGAACTCTGTCACATGGTCAACTCTAGCTTCAAGAGAGGCTAGGAAAGCTAAACACTTGATTTTCTTAATGGAAAGAGCAAGGGAAGGGAAAAAGCCTTAGCAATGAAAACTTAGGCAATCAGCAGTGTCTGCAGCAGCAGGGAGGATCATCCTATCAGAGGGAGACGGGAGGATTGGATTACTATCATAATCTCCCCCTGCATCAGAGGGATTGAATACATCCCACAACACAGTCTGTTCTTTGACCACATAAAGTCACAATGTATGACCCATCACGATATTTTGGTAAAATGAAAATTAAAAATAGCAATTAGTCAATGATTTTTATTAAGTCATCTATTTTAGACTTACGAGTTGTGAGGGCAACACCTGAGAAAATTGTAACAAAAGAAGACCTACAAAAGACTATAGAGATAACACTCACAGAGTCGGAAACACTGAGATTTTTTAACCTACCAACAGTCATGGTTTCTGTGGAATCTGAAGAAGCTGAGAAGGTCATGTATGTACGGCTCAATTGTCTATTTGTTTCTGTAATTTAAGTGCTAAGTCAGAGGTTCTTGTCCTTGTTTCTGTTTTTAGGGATTCCTGGATAAATACTGGTGGCATACGTGGTTGGTGAAATTACGTGTAAAGTTATATGTGTGCCCTATGAAATGATATGTAAAGTATTTATGTTGTATGTACTTTTTTTCTAGAGGAAGAACCCATAGCTTTACCTTATTCTTTAAAAAGTAGTCAAACTACTAAGTCAAATAATAAAAGAAATAAAGGAAGCTTCCAAGTCTCAATATAGATTTTAATGATTATTTTCTTTTATGCATATATAAATTATTTCCAGTTTAAAAAGAAAGGACTGACTTTTTATATTAAACACTTAAGAAGGAAAATATGTAATGGGAAAATAACTGAGTTTACTATATTAGAGCAGATTTTCCATTTGTCCTTATTAATTAATTTAAATAGATCATTAATTTTTGCCTTGTGTATTTTGAAGCTTTGTTGTTAAACACATACACATTAAGGATTGTTATGTCTTTTTGGGAGAATTGACCCCTTTATCATTTTGTAATGTCCCTCTTTATCTCTGATAATTTGCCTTGCTCTGAAGTCTACTCTGTCTGAAATTAATTTAGCTACTATAAATAGAGTATTGATAGTTATTCAGATTATTTAGATTCAAATATAATTTGAATATGACTCATAGTACTAAAAAATCCATCATTAAAATATTTTTAGGGCATTATTCTTTTCCAAATATTAACCTAGAATTATTTTGGACTATAGAATATAGTACAAGTAGATCCTGAATAACATACTTTGAAACCCATAAGACATAAAGGGAAGCTCTTAACACCAAAAAAAGGAAAGGAAAGAATAACAAATGGATAAATAAATGATCTGAAATCAGAGAGGGAGAGATGCTGGAAGCAAATGTTAAAATTAGCACATGAATCTAGAGTTCATTAAGTCTTGGTCCCCCACAATTGAGAGGATGGAAAGAGATATTTTTGTATTAATCAAAGACCCTTAAAAGGATTTCAGTTATCTCAAGTGATCCCAGGTCTCATAGCTACTACATAAGCCAACATGAATTTTCTCTGGAGGAAATCATATCCCATTTAGGCTCTTAAGATTCCCTCAGATTGAGTTTGGTAAAAATACACCAAACCAATAAAGAAGCCATTATGAATGAGAATTAAAAGAAATAACAAACCCTAGATCTACATTGTGAGGACTGTGGATAATGAGATATTAGTAGGGCTATATTATGAGATGTAGAATATAAAATATATGTGAAATATTTAAACAGAAGATAAAGCTAACACCTCACTAAGAAACTATCAAAATGATGACTCATATTTGCAAAAACATCTAAAAAGAACTGTAAAATAAAGTATGCTTATATAACTGTTGAAACTAAAAAGTAAATGTTAAATTTAAACAAGGCATAATTGAACAGAGATTTAATAACTTGAAACATAGATCTGGATAAACTATACAAAATAAACCTTGGAGAGAAAAATATGATATAAAGTATGAAAGAGAAGTTAAAAAAAGACATCGACAATAGAATAAAGGTCCAACATGCATCTGGTTAGTTTCAAAAAGTCAAAGTAGAAAGAATGGAGGAGAGGAACTATTCAAAAAGAGGGGGTAAGGACTTTCCGAAGCTCTTAAAAGACATCATGTCACAGAAACAGGAATAAATTTTTAAAAATATCCAAAAAAAGAAGTTGTGCATTGTACTGGTACTCCAGGATATCAAATGTTAAAAGATTTTAAAAACAGAAGAAAAAAAGAAAGAAAAAACATATCATCCACAGAGAAACAATTAAACCAATTGCATTATTAGGGACAAAGAAGTTTACTTCATAATGACAGGAAGGTAAAAATAATTCTAATCTTGAATATCCCTAATAAAATAACCTCAACATATATGAAGCAAAAATTTAAAACTTGTTAAGTATCCTATTAAAGTAGATTTAAACATGCTTCTCTTAATTACTGTATGCCAACCAGATAAAAAATTCACATAGATACAGAAAATTTGAACCAAAAACATTTAATGATCACAACTCTTCATTCAACAATTAGAAAACATTCACTCTTTTCAAGCACACACGGAACATTTATAAAAATCATCCATGCACAAGACCATGAAGCAAGGTTTCAAAAATTTCAAAGAAATAGTACCATACAAACTAAATTCTCTGGCCATAAATAGAATTAAGTTAAAAATTAATAACATAAATCTCAATGAAAACATAGATAATATTCACACACACATTTGGAAGTTAAAAAGCACATTTTCTAAGTTCCTCATGAATCAAAGAAGAAATCATAATAGAAATTTAAGAAATACTCAGAATTAAATAATTATGAAAATAATACCTACAGGATGACACAAGGTGGTACCTTAAGGGAAATGTATAGTTTTCAGTGTTTATAGCATAGTTCATAAAACCTATCTGGAGATAGTGCTAGCGTATTGTTGGTGGGCACTGAAAGTAGTAGGGATGCTGGGAGGTACAGTAAATAGAGTCCTTCGGAGGTAATTCAGTGCAGTCTTTCCCTAAAGAGTTTTTTGAACTCTCATTTAATGTTTGGTGCAATCCACATAAAAGAAGGTAATTTTAAAGAGAAAACATAATATAAAGAGGTAATATCTGTGGTAATAATTTTTATTAATGAGTTGAATATACTTTTTTTGTAGTCGGAGAAACAAGAATTATGAGACCCTTTGTAGGAATAGATTAGGCAATGACTTATATGTTGAAAGGATGATGCAGACTATTAATGGAGCTCCAAAGAACAAAGAGGTTCAATGTGACAAAATCGTAAAGGAAGACAAAGGTAATTCATATTTTATTCTGCTTGATAAATGACCATATTTTAATATACATTCTTTGAGTCTGTCAATTAACAAATGAATGTTGAAACATATAAAGCAAAGATAGAAATACATTGGCCAAATCACAATAGTAGCTGGGTACTGTAATCTACAGCTTTTAGAATTTGATAAATAACGAGTAATAAATATACATATAAAAGATTTAGATAACATAATTATCAATTTTGATTTTTATAAAAACTCTATCATAGAATTTTATACTCTTTGAATGTTTATGAAACATTTAGAGAAACTGTCTGCTTACTATTTCACAAAGAGTATCAACCACAACTAATTACATTTAAAATGTGCCAGGTACTATTCAAGACCTTTCACATATATTAACTGGTTTAATCCTCACAACAACCCTACGAGGTAGGTGCTATTGTTACTCTCCATTTTGGAGGAAGAAACAAGCAAAGAGAAGTTAGCCAACTTGCTAAGGTCACTCAGCAAGTATGGCACACAGTAATACCCTCAGACAGTCTGGTTCTAGAGGTTGTATTCTTTACTACACTTATTGTCTTTCAATGTTTAGCAACCCTGCATGGCCAACAATCTGCGAAGTAGGGCCAAAAAGGTAATTAGAAGAAAGTTTTTAATTTTAATGACCTTTGTTGTTCAGCAAAATTATAAGCTAGTTCTTTTGAAAGATTCAAATAGACAAACTTCTAAGCAAGTACTAAATCAAGAAAAGGGCAACTTATGATTAGTAGGAAAGCTTTATGGCATCTTTACTCACTCTTGCCATACTTCCCTTCCCAACGTGGTGATGATCTTAAAGACAGCAGTCTGCCTTCCCAGTTTGAGACCCTGGCCTCTGGTTCCAGAGGGGGCAGAGCAAACTTTATTCTTAACAGAGTTGGTTTCTCTGTTTCAACCTGTCTGGGAGCTACCTGAAGGACTGACACAGAGCACTTGTCTTATTATTATTTTTTTTTAATTCAGCACTCTCTCAGGTGGTAAAACAGCTGTGCATACTGCATTCTCCACAAATATTGAAAGGCAAATGAACAACTCATCTCTCTTAGAGTCAAGAGAATACAATGGAGTCAAATAAGAACACACTAAAAACCTGAGAGAAAAAGCTAGGGAGGGAGTTTCTTTGGGAAATTAAGATATTGAAAAAGGCTTGCATATACAAGGAAATTTAGAAAGTCATGTGCATGCCTAGGGCAGGATGCATGCTCAGAAAAGACTTGAAAATATCCTAATCTCTCACCTCTGGCTGATCTCTAGGCTCAGTACAAGCAGGAAGTGAAGACTAAGGCATAGTTGTAAACAGGCTGGCTAAGCATTAAAGGAATACCTTAACACAGACTCAATCTGCGAGGACTGGGAGTTCCCCCCCCCCACCTTTTTTTTCCTTTTCTCTTTGCTCTCCTTTTTTTCTGATGCGGGGAGGAATTTCGATGTTCAAGGAAATATCTGTCAGGACACTTGCTGACCAAAAGCCAAAAAGCAGACACTTCTAAGATGATACATGACAAAGAATAAAGTCTTTATAAAAATAGTTTAGTAACATCACTAAGTGAACAAACAACTGGGACTCACAGCAAACTACAAAAACGAAACCCAAGGACCAAGAAGAATCTGATTTCCAGAGTTACCACATTATTATATTCAAAATGTTCAGTTCTCAAAAAAAAAATTACAAAGGATAGAAAGAAGTAAGAAAGTATAGCCCACTTAAATAAGAAATTAACAGAAACTCTCACTGTGGAAGTACAGACTTTGTATTTATTAGCCAAAAACTATATCAATTGTATTAAATATTCTGATAAGGCTAAAGGAAACTATGGGCAAAGAGCTAAAGCAAACCAGAATGATGTACACACAAATAAAGAATATGAATAAAGAGATAGGAATTATAAAAAGAAACCAAACAAATTCTGGAGATTAAAAGTACAATAATTGAAATGGAAAAACTCATTAGAGTTATCAATAGCAAATTTGAGCAGGCAGAAGAAAGAATCAGCAATTCTTAAAAGACAGGACAATTAAAATAATCCAGTCTGAGGAGCAGAAAGAAGAATAAAGAAAAATGAACACAGCTCAGAGGACCTATGTGGCTCCACCAAGCAAACCAACATACACATAAAGGGAATTTCAGGATGGTAGAAGAAAAACAGAGATAAAGAGGAAAAAAATATTTGAGGAAATAATGGCCAAAAAACTTCCAAAATTTGATAAACATCATGAATCTGCATGTCTAAGATGCTCAACAAACTCCAAAAAGGATAAACAAAGAGATTTACACTCAGGCACATTATAATTAAGTGTTGAAAGGGAATCTTGAAAGCAGCAAAAGAAAAGTGACTCATCATGTACAAGGAATCCTCAATAGGATTACACAGATTTCTCAGCAGAAACCATGGAGTCCAGAGGTCAGTGGGATACCATACTTAAAGAGATGAAAGAGAAAACTGTCAACCAATAATTCTATATCCTTCAAATAATTCTCATGATGGAGAAATTAAATAAAATTAAATATATTCCCATGAAGGAGAAATTAAGATATTCCCAGATAACAAAAGCTAAGGTGATTCAGCACTAGAAGAACAGCCTTAAGAGAAATGCTAAAGGGAGTCCTTCAGGGAAAAATGAAAGGACACCAGACAGTAACTTGAAGACATATGAAGAAACAAAGAACACTGGTAAAGGTAACTACATAGGTAAATACAAAAGCCAGTATTGTAATTTTGGTTTATCTCTCCTCTATTTGTTTTGCAATATAATTTAAATAAATACATAAAACAATAATTATAAATCTATACTAATAGGCACACAGTGTACAAAGATGTAATTTGTGACATCAACATAAAATGGGTGTGATGGAGCTTTATAGGAGCTCCTGTATACTACTGAAGTAAGGTACTATTAATTCACAATAGATTGTTAAAATTTTAAGAAATTACTTGTAATTTCCAAGGCAACCACCAAGAAAATAACTTAAAAATTGCAAAAAAGAAAATTAGAAAGGAATCAAAGCAGAACACTATTAAAAAATCAAGTAAACACAAAAGAAGACAGTTATGGGAGAATTGAGGAACAAAGACATAAGACATGAGGAAGACAAAGAAAAATGGCAGAAGTCCTTCCTGAACAATAATTACTTTAAATAAATGGATTAAACTCTCCAATTGAAACACAGATATTGATAGGATGGATTAAAAAAAAAACTAAACATGATCCAAGTATATGCTATCTAACAAAAGACTCACTTTAGATCCACAGACAAAATATGTAAAGTGAAAGGTTGTATGTAGCAACCAAAGAAAGCTGAGATAGCTTTACCAATATCAGACATAGTAGACTTTATATAAAATTGTTACAAGGGCCAAAGAACATTATATATTGATAAAAGATTCAATCCATAAAGAAGATATAACAATTATAAACATATATGTACTTAACAAGAGAGCCTCCAAATAATATGAAGCAAAAATTGACAGGATTGAAGGAAGAAATAGACAGGTCTACAATAAGAGTTGAGACTTCATTACCCCACTGTCAATAATGGACTGAACAACCAGAAAGATTGTCAATAAGAAAATAGAGGACTTGAATAATAATACAAACTAGATATAACATACATACACAGAACACACCATCCCCAAACAGTAGAATACACATTTTTTTCTCAAGTTCAAATGGAAATCTCTCCAAAATACACCATTATGTCAGGCCACAAAACAAGAGGTAATAAAATTTTAAAAATTGAAATCTTTTCTGCCACAATGTAATGACACTCATAATGTATAATAAAAGGAAAACTGGAAAATTTAAAAATATTTGGATATTAAGCAACACACTCTTAAACAACCATTGGGTCAAAGATGAAAGCACAGGGAAATTAGAAAATATTTTGAGATGAGTGGGAATGAAAATACAACATAGCAAAACTTATAGGATATAGTGGAAGTAGTGCTTAAAGAGAAATTTATAGCTGTAGATACATTAAAAAGGAAGATCTCCACTTGAAACTAATGTAGCATTATGTATCAACTATACTTCAATAAAAAATAATAAAAATCTCAAATCAATAACTTCACACCTTAAGAAATGAGATAAAGAAGATAAAACTAAACCAAAAGCCAGCATAGGGAAGAAAATAATAAAAATTAGAGTGGAGATAAGCAAAATGAGAATAAACAGAAAAATCAATGAAACTAAAAGAAACAGAGAAAAATCAATGAAACTAAAAGTTGGTACTTTGAAACGATCAACAAAACTGCCAAAATTTTTGTTAGACTAAGAAAAAACAGAAGATTCAAATTACTAAATGAGAAATGGAAGTGGGGACATTACTACTGACCTTACAGAAATAAAATAGATTATAAAAAAAAATGAACATCCGTATGTCAATAAATTAGATAACTAAATGAAATGGACACATTCCTAGAAACTCACAACTTGTGAAAACTGACTCAAAAAGAAATACAAAATCTGAACAGAGCTATAATAAGTAAAGAGACTGGATTAATAATCAAAACTTCCTAAGAAAGAAAATCCCAGGAGCACCTGGGTGGCTCAGTCAGTTAAGCGGCTGGCTGACTTTGGTTCAGATCATGATCTCAGGGTCCTGGGATTGAGCCCTGCATTGGGCTCCCGGCTTGTCCCTTGCTCTCTCTCTGCCCTTCACCTCACTTGTGCTCTCTCTCTCTCTCAAATAAATAAATAAAATCTTAAAAAAAAAGAAAAGAAAATTCCAAGACCAAATGGTTTCTCTAGTAAATTCTACCAGTCATTTAAAGGAGAAGCAACACCAACCCTTCAAAAAATAATTTTCCAAAAAATGGAAGAGAACACTTAAAAATCATGAGGCCAGCATTACTCTGATACCAAAGCCAGACAAAGACATCGAAGAAAAGAAAACTAATACCAGTATTCCTTATGAATATGGATGCAAAAATCCTCAATAAAATACTAGTACACTGAATCAGCTCCACATTAAATGGAT